GGCAGAGCAGATCCTAGGCTGGCAGGGTCTGGATGCCAAGGGCATGCCCGAGAGGCTTACCAGTTCACTCCACAGAGGCCCTGCCCTCCTGGAATGCCCCAGCTCTCAACTCCCCAAGGGCTTAGGGGATTTGGGTCCCTGGATCTCCAGAGCGAACTACACCTTCCCAACAGGAGGCAGCCCCAGAACACACCCAGGAGGCCTCTGGCCAGCAGGCTTCACCAACCACCCCTTCCCCTGACCCTGCCACAGGAGGCCCCCCATCAGCTATCCACTGCTGTGCTAAACCTAGTCTCTTGCTTTGAGGCAGAGGCCCCCAAGATCCGTGTCCCCCGCCACCTTCGTGAGACCTACATCCGCCAGGTGGGAGAGGCGGTCAACCTGCAAATCCCCTTCCAGGTGGGTGTGCCTCCTGCTGGGTAGGGCCTGGCTTCCATGTGAGGTGTGTCGGGAGAGGGAAAGCTCAGGATTCCCGTGGAGATCTACCTGGGACCCACCAGGATGGCCTCACCTTCCCTCAGCCCCATCCACAGCTGGGGTGTGATGCCCCGGCCTATGGACAAAGCAACTCCCGGCTGGCTGGACACCTGGAGGATGTGGCTCTGGTCAGCATCTGTGTCTCCAGCCTCCACTTTCCCTCTTGGGAAGGGCTGATGGGGCCAACTCTCCTCGACCAGGCTCCAGAGATCCCCAGAGCTGAGGGAGTGTGACACTAGTACCTCCTGCACCCACTCTGAGGGCTCCTCTCTCGCAGGGGAACCCCAAGCCTCAGGCCTCGTGGACCCACAACGGCCAGGCCCTGGACAGTCAGAGGGTGAGCGTGCGAACGGGGGACCGGGACTCCATCCTCTTCATCCGCTCAGCCCAGCGTGCCGACTCTGGCTGCTACGAGCTCACCGTGCAGCTGGAAGGCCTGGAGGCCAAGGCAGCCATCAACATCCTGGTGATTGGTACGGGCAGGGGGACAGGGGAGGCAGGGCCTTCTCCGTGGAGACCCAGGCCCCACTTCCTTCCCCCCAAAGCTGAAGGCTGGTGGGTGTCAGGCCAGGAAAGCATGATAGGGGCCTGATCTTGGGTGGGGTGACTTGTGGCACACCCAGCCCTCACATCTGCACCCCCTCGCACTCTGGTCCTTCAGAGAAACCTGGACCCCCCAGCAGCATCAGGCTAGTGGACGTCTGGGGCTGCAACGCTGCTCTTGAGTGGACTCCACCCCGGGACACAGGCAACACAGAGCTCCTGGGCTACACGGTGCAGAAGGCAGACAAGAAGACAGGGGTGAGGCCTGCTGGGGCAGAGAGGGGCGGGGAGGAATAGTGCCTGGAAGGCCCAGCCCACCAAGAGTCCACAGACTGAGGCCTGGTCTGACCACCAGTGATTTACTGACTCCCTGTGTAGCTTTTGGCAAGCCAGGCCTCAGTTTCCTCCTGAAGACTGCAAGGAGGGCTGAATTGTTTCTGGAAACAAAAATTGAGCAGTGTTTCTGGAAACATAATGTGCATAGGAATCACCTGGGAATCTTCCTAAAATGCAAAGTCTCACTGGTTAGACCAGAGTGAGGTCCCACACTTCTAAGAAGCGCCCAGGTAATTCCCAGATTGCAGGTCTGCGGACCACACAGAGTAGTAGCAAGGTTCCAGAATTCTCTGAGGACCCCAGAGAGGTCACCCGAGGGGCCCAAGGGACCCTCTCCTGATTCAGCCCCTTGGGCCCATGGCTGGATGGTTGGACTCTCAGGGCAGAGGGCATGGAGGGAGGCCTCCTGAGGAAGGGGGTGCAGGCCAGCAGTGAGGGTGAAGGCAGGGGAGAGGCGAGGCTGACGGAGCGGGGGTTCCTCAGCAATGGTTCACAGTGCTGGAGCGCTACCACCCGACCACCTGCACCATCTCTGACCTCATCGTGGGCAACTCCTACTCCTTCCGGGTCTTCTCGGAAAACCTCTGTGGTCTCAGCGCCTCGGCCGCCACCACCAAGGAACTTGCCCGCATCCAGAAGGCAGGTGGGTCCACCAGACTGGAAGGCAAGCCAGACCTGGCACAAGAGCCCTCTCCCTGTCTCCGTCTTTGCCTGGGGGTCTCAGAGCCCTCCCCACAGGTCTCTACCCCCATCCCCCAGGCACAGCTATGCACACACACACACACACACAGGCACACACATACACACACACACTCAAGCACATACACACAGAGGACTGTCAAGACTTGGAGTGGCTGATTGGTTTTAACAAACACAGCAGCGAACCCATGCAATGAGAAGCTGGGGGGGGGGGCTGTGTGCTGATTCCAGTTCTCGAAGGCGGCGTCTGGAGGGAGGGGCTCCCCCGGCAGTGGGTCGTAGGTGGACCCGGGAGATAGGATCTAGCACCACCGAGATGGACAGAGAGATACGGGTATTTACAGTCTCCACAGGCACATGACCCTCCTGCGTCAAATGTGGCATTCCAAGCCCCTCTCCCGCCGCGGCTCGCACCCCCGCGCAGTCTGTGTGGGCTCGGGAAGGCGCATTCTTTTTAACACCAGCCTGAGCTGCACAGAATTAAGGAAAATTTTTTGTTTAAAAAAGGAAAGCCAGCCAGGTCTCCAAAGACAAACAGAAATGAAATGTGGTATCTCTGAGTTGCTAGTCTCCACTCTCAGCCAAGATCATCGCTCTGGCTCCCCAGCCCACTCCCTTCTCTGCACCCCTCCCTGGCAGCGAGGGGAGCCCCTAGGCTCGGTCTCCACACAGCTGCCTGCTTGGGACATTCCATCTCTAAGGTCCTGCATGTAAGCCTTCCTTTGCTCCCCGAAGATCCCAGGGGCCTGGGGCCTGCCATGGAGCTTCCGAGGAGGACCCAGGAGGACATGGACGGTCCCCCATGAGGCTCTGACTTGCTCCAGAGCCCCTGCTCCTACCCAGGGAACCTCAGTCATCACGTGACCGCCCACCCCTAAGTCACTCGGTCACCAAGGGTTTCCTTTCCCACCTGTCAATTGGGAGCAAAGTGTGGAAGAACGTGCAAATCAAATGCGATGCTGCGGTGTGCACTAAGATTGTTTTAGGAAAGTAGGGAAATCAGTGCTACAAGGTCTACTCCTATAATCTCCAGTTCACCCCGTTTTCTCCCCTGAACCCAGATATTGTCGCTAAACCCAAAGGGTTTGTTGAGCGAGACTTCTATGAGGCCCCCACCTTCACTCAGCCCCTGGCTGACCACACCTCCACCCCTGGCTACAGCACCCAGCTGTTCTGCAGTGTGCGAGCCTCACCCAAGGTGAGGGGCAGGGCCCGCTGTGGGGGGACGGGCAGGGTGCTGGGCTGAGGAATGCTCTGGCATCTCTGCCCAAACTTGAGGGTGGTCTTGGAGAGCCTGCCCAGCCCCCACCTTCCCACCCGCTCCTGATCAACTCCCCCAGCCCAAGATCATCTGGATGAAAAACAAGATGGACCTCCAGGGCGACCCCAAGTACCGCGCCCTCACCGAGCATGGCATCTGCACGCTGGAGATCCGGAAGCCCTGCCCCTTTGATTCGGGGGTCTACACCTGCAAGGCCATCAATGTGCTGGGGGAGGCCTCTGTGGATTGCCGGTTGGAGGTCAAAGGTGAGGGTTTGAAGAACATCCTCCTTAGGGACCCTCCCATGGATGGGAGGACAGACACTACCTCTTCTCCGGCTGGCCTAGGTGAGGCGAGCCCTGGGAGAGGCACAGAGGGGGCAGGTGAGGTGAGGCTGGCCTCAATTCTTTCTCAGTAGGAGGGTGGGAAAGGAGGGAGTGTGTCTGGATCTCCTGGGTAAAGTGGGCAGCTTTGGGCCTCTCTTGTGCCCCCTCCCCTCTGCGGGTCCCCCAGCAGGCCCCCACCCTCAGCTCTAACCTACAGGATCTCTTTCAGCCTCAGCCACACACTGAGGGTGACTGGAGGAAGCTGCCAGGAGAAAGGTAACTGGCAGGGCCCACACCTCTGCAGCCTCTGGAGGTGCCAACTGGAGCAGGGGGTGGTGAAAAGCGGGGTGGGGGGGCAGTATTGGCTCTGGTGCAAATCTGCCATCACAGGCACGTCCTGGGGGACATTTTGGGGCCACCACCAGGATGGGCAGTACTGGTAAGGCCGGGAAGGGGGTGACTCAGTGGATGGGCACAGGACAGGCCCAGTCTTGGGGTATGGGCAGACCCTGGACCTGTGTCCTGTCAGAGGTGGGGCTGACGACCGGACCCCACCCTTGCTTTCTGGGTGGTTCTGAGGCTCTGGACAATTGAGAAAGGCTTTCAAGGCAGAGCACAGATCGGGGTGTCTTGGGAGGGGCTGGAGAAGGGAAGAGGGTGCTTCTTCCCCTGCCCCACCTCACCTCTTCAGCCTAACATCAGGGGCTCAGGAAGTGTGTTCTCTCCCAGGTGCCACAACCTGAGGGGTCAGACCCCCAGACGAAGGATCAAACCATGGACTTCCCAGACCACGTTTCCACAGCGACAGCAGATGGCTTCGCTCCCTGTCCTTGTCTAGCCTCCCTGCCAGAGGCCGGAGCCCGGTGCCTGGGAGGGCCCAGAGGCCTCAGCCAGGCTTCCTAGCACCAGGATACCTAGCGGGTGCAACACTAGAAGGACCCCGCAGGGTTGTGCTGGGGCCAGACGTGCTCAAATAAAAGCGTGTGGTGTTCGGTGCGGGGGCTTTGCTGTCGTGACGGGGAGGCATGTGTCACCGCAAGGGGGTGCAAACGTGTCACCATGAGGGGCCTTCACGTGTGACACCAGGGGGAGGTGCTGCCAGGAGGGGACTCCAGATGTCAGGGGGCCTCCAGATGTGAGGTTTTTCAGGGTCTTGCTTTCACCTTCAGGGTTTGCTACCCAAGTACATGGCTACAGGAACAGATGCACCTTTCTCTGGAGCGCCCCCTTGCTCCCAACACCCCCACACCTGCCCAGCATCTCCCACACCCCGCCTTGGCATCTTCTCCCTGAGGTTGTCTGTTGCCCTCTGCAGGGCTGGGGTGGGCAGCCAGACAATTGAGATCTCTCCAGGAGGGTTCAGGCTTTTATTAGTCACGTGGCCCACCCTGGGGAGCAGGGGACACCCCCTCTGACAGAGGGAAAGGCCTGGAGTGAAGGCCTGGGGCTGCTTTTCATACTGAGAACCCCGCTCTCCGGACGAGGGGCTCCTGGCTTCGCAGGGCGTCAGTTCTTTCCCAGATGCCTTGAAAGCCTCAATGCTGTTACAGAGCTCTTGAAGTCGCCAAAAAGTGCTAAGTGCCAAAAGGGCTGAAGGCATTTGAATGCCAACAAGCCCTCCCACCCCCACTCAGGAGGGTGGTCTTCTCGGACCTGTGCCAGCCTGCCACACCCCACCCCAAGAGTGCGCAGTCAGTCCACTTGCCCTAGTCCACCCCCTCCCCAGACAGGCAGAATGACTCCCAAGAGTTGGCACATATGGGGTTCTCCTCTCCATCTGGCCAGGAAGCGCAGAGAGGGGTGTCACCTGGAAGAGTCCAGGCCAGGCTGTTCCTTGGGACACGTGCAGCAAGACCTTGGGCTCAGTGCTGCCATCTGGTGGGTATTTGAGAACTGCACCTACCACTCCAATCTCACTGGGGGCCTCCAAGACCCCACCCAGGGTCCAAATGAAATAGTGGAAAATAAAACACATGTTGGAAATGATATCTGGACCTGCTCTTTCTGCCTCTCCCCTATATAACCCCGGGCTCCCCAGAATGAGGAGAGCAGGCACCCAGTCACCCGGTATGGCCGGGAGGGAGCACAGGGTCCTGGCACTGTGGGGCTCTCTGGTGGGAGTCCTGGTAAAGACTGGGGCTCCTCATTCCTACCCCTTGGCTGCTCTGGCCACCTTCTCCTGCAGAACAGGAGAGAAAGCGAGGCCAGCACATTTAGTTTCTCTCTTTCCCTGATCCTGGAGGGACATCTGTCCTCTTCTCAAGTTGAGTCTCGGGCTTGCACCGCCAAGGGATTCCTGTGTTTGCCCTCCCGGCACCTTTGACATCTCAGTCCGCGGGTCACCCAGGTCAATGCTGGGCTGCTCAGCAAGTGGGGGGGCTCAGCCCACTTCCCTTCTCCCCTTGGGTTACATGGTTCCTTCCCCATAGGCTGCCCTTCCAAACCTCCCCCAGGAGCCGAGGTGCAGGGCACCACACCCCACAGCCCAGCCAGGGAAGGCTTTGGGGAATGGGTCAAACAGTGAGGAGGTGCCGACCGGGCTGAGATACCCGGATGTGGGCAGGTGGGAGCAGAAGGCAGAGTCTAGTCATCGGGCCTCTCTTCTGGGGGGTCCTCGTCAATGGGGGGTGCGGGCCGGCAGCGGAAATGGTCATTCCAAATCTTAAGAAAGGTGACCCGGAACTTCTGGATGCGAAAGGCATAGACGATGGGGTTCATGGCCGAGTTGCCATGTGTGAGGAAGATGGCGATGTAGATGAGGATGCTGGGCTTTTGGCAGGATGGGCAGAAGAGGGTGATGCAGTTCAGGATGTGGAGGGGCAGCCAGCTGAGCGCGAAGAGGAAGAGGATGAGGGCCAGTGACTTGGCGATCTTCAGCTCCTTCCCATAGTACTTGTGCGGGTCGCCCGAGGACGCTGACACCTTCTTGTTGAGCTGCTTGCGGATCAGGTAGAAGACCTCCAGGTAGATGAGGACCATGAGCAGCAGCGGGGGCAGCACCCAGACAAAGAAGTTGAAGTAGACCATGTACTCCATGCTGATGACCTTCTCGAACTCGCACTTGATGACCGGCTCGCCCACGCTGCCGTTGGCCACCCAGGCCCGCTCCACCTCACTCAGGTTGTTCCAGCCCAGCATGGGCGTGAGGCCCACCACAAAGGAGAGAATCCAGCAGCCCGCGATGGCCACGGCCGCCCTCCGCGGAGTCACCACGGTCTTGTACCTGGGGGAGAGAAGAGCAGAGAGTGAAGCAGCCTTCAGTCTCACCCAGGCCCCAGGGGTCCCTAAGAGAAGCCTCCCACCCCCAGCCACCCAGCCAGGACCAGGGAGGGGCAGTGCAGGTCTTTGGCTACAGGGCAGAGTCTTCAGGAGCTAAGATGCAGGCAGAGCTGCCCAGGCACTTGCTAGTCCCTCCTGTGGAATGTGGGAAACCAGAACAACAATAAAGATATTATTGAAAAAGAAAAATAACAAAGAATCTGGGGCCTCCCTGGTGGTGCAGGGGTTAAAGACAGTGCTATCAAGCTATCTCCAGCCACTGCAGCACGAGTTCGATCCCCCAGGAGCAACCCACATGGCGCAGCAGACCTCTCCTGACTCGCCCACTGCTCCCCTCAGCAATGGATTTCAGTCAGGCTGCCTGTTCTGCTCCCCACTCTGTCTCTGGTGAATCCTCTCACCTGCCCCCCCGCACCTCTGGTCTGCACCCCAGTTCTTGTAGGCATAAATAAATAAATCTTTAAAAAAAATAACAAAGGATCTCTCTTAGGGGTTTTAATCAAAATTAAGAAATAAAAATCATTAAAGGCAAATCACTGACACATTCTCGATCCATCCCTACTGGTCATCTCATTGCTTCTCAACAGCGCAGGTACAATGAGGACCCAATGGACCGAGCAGGAAATTGAGGTTCAAAGCAGACACGTGACCTGCCCAAAGCCACACAGCAGGCACCACACACTCTCACACACACCTACACCGGCCAAAACAGCCAAGACAGCCCTTCCCTTGGACCAGCTGACAATGCCATCTTGGCTCTCCCCGCACTCCCCTGCCAGCACCCCCACTGACCTCCATCTTGACCTCCCCTGCTCCTTGCAACCAGTGTACAGTTTATCTTCCAACAGGTTGGTCTGAAAAACCAGCTCTGTCCCAGGCTGACTGGGAATTATTCTCAGGAAAGAAAACTGAGGGTCACTGAGCACACCCCAGAACAGGACTTGGCTTGTGGGGACACAGGTGTGAGTGCCCTTTTCAGCCAGCACTTTTGAGTGCTTTCCTTGATGGCAATGCTCTCTGTGCTGGGAATATGAAAAAGGAGCCTTGACTGGAAACAGCTCGCATTGGGGGAAAGCAGTAAGGAAACACTAAAACAAGACAACTAAGGTTGTGATTTGTCCTTGGAAGGACATGAGCAGGGCACTGGCAAGGGGCAGCCTTTTCATGTTGGGACACACTGACGATGAAAGCATGAGGTACCCCGGTTACCTCCCCTCCCCACTGAGAGCTAAGGATTTCAATGGCTTTGGGGCTCCGCTTCTGTTTACTGCAGCCCAGCCAGCAACCAGCGAGTCCTCTGCCCACACACTGGCCCGAGAGCCAGTATCAGGCTGGGGCCGCCGGCTCCATGCCCAGGAGCTGGCTCAGCGAGCAGCTGCCCAGTTGTTATTTTCCAATGCAGCTTCCGAGAGGGATGCAGTGCCCTGGAGCTGTAAACAGCTACTGAGCCCCACGGGTGTGAAGGGGGAAGCCTCGCTCTGTTTTCTCTGCCCCTGCAAAATCTGAGGCTCTCTCCTCCACAGCAATTCCACGCAAGGGTCTTCTCACCCCAATACCTTTCCATCACCGAAGTCCACTGCTCCAGGAAGGCTTTATGAGGATAGGAAGGAAATGATTTGGGGGAGATTGGAGAGGTCAGACCATATCCCACCCCCAGCCATATCTGGAAAGCAAGCACTAGAATGGACCTTTGGAACCTCACTCCCAACATCGTCATCATTCCAATGGGGAAACTGAGGACCAAAGATGAAGCCCACAGTCTCCTACTCTGTGATCAGTCATGGACTCCAGGGTCCCCAAAGCACCAGGGGGTCTTGAAAGCCACCAGCCAGCGTCTTCCTGTGCCACTCCGAGGCACAACTCTTGCCCTTATATTGTAACTGACACCCAGTTCCTCCTCTGGATCCCCACAGGACAGTCAGCTGTGTGCAGACACCGGAAGTCAGTGACCCAAACTTGAACCACACTTCTGCAACCTGCAAAATCAACTCTTCCTCTGCAAAATGAGATGGTGTTGGGCCTCCCTGGTGGTGCAAGGGGTTAAGCACTGCACTATGAAGCAATCCACAGCTACTGCAGCACAAGTTCAATCCCTGGCTGGCCAGGGAGCTACCCACATGGCACAGTAGACCTCTCCTGTCTGGTCCGCTGCTCCCCTCAGCAGTGTATTTCAGTCAGTCTTCCTGTTCTGTTCCTCACTCTGCCTCTGGTGAATCCTCTCACCCCTCGCACCTCTGGCCTGTACCCCAGTTCTTGTATGCATAAATAAATAAATCTTTTTAAAAAAGAAAAAAAAATAATCAGATGCTGGGACCCACTTCAGAGGGTGAGGATCAAATGGAATAACACATGAAAACTCCCTGCAAACATTCCTGTGCCTGAGCTCCCACCCCTCCAAGCCCCAGGAAACCCTGGCATCTTTAGGTGCTCAGAAATGCAAACTAACTAGCAGCTCTGCCAACCTTGGCTCATTCCCAATGACCCCATCTGCTCCCCGCATGCCCTGTGGAGAAAGGACCTCTGGATGAGTGTGGCCATGGGAGTGCAGGTCACTGTGATCAGTCACAAGGCGGGGGGGGGGGGGGGGGGGCCTGAGTCCCCAGAGGGGGGCAGCAGGACCACAGAGGCTGCAGCTGCAGAGAGACAAAAGCCAGCACCCCACCACCACCACCACCAAACAGCTAAGGTTTGATCACTTACAGAGCCTCTTACACTCATGTCTGAGTAAACCTCATAACCACCTGGGAGTACAGCCCTGTGGAACCCCGCTTCACAGATTAAAACCTCAGGCACAGAAACAGGCAGCACCTGACTCCAAGCTCCGTGGAGCACCTGGCTGAGCACTGGTGGCTTAGAAGCAGCAAGTTAGGCAGACTGGGAATACTCCTTTTTGATGATAAGCTTTAAATCAGAACCTCAGGGCCCTGTTCAGAGAGTACTGCCCGGCAACGGGGTGGGAAAGGTGACCTCTGCTGTCCAGTTTGAGTGTGGGGGCCTAGCCCAGGACTCACACCTGGGCAACCACATCCCACCGCGACCCCCACCAACCCGACGAAAGAGGAGCTAGGTTCTGACAGCCGCCCAGGTGGGAGAGCGAGGAGGCCAGGCCTAGCTAGAGGGGTGCGCCCATCCCCCCCTTTTCCTGATAGCTGGGAGCCCTGGGATTAAAGCTTTCCTGGGGCTCTTCCAGGGCCAGGTCCCAGCAGACCGCAGTGCAGGGTATCAGTTCTCATCTGTTTTTCTTGCTATTTTCTCCGTGGTGGGAAAGGGCTGTGCACGGGACCTTGGCTGAGGTGGGGCAGGTTCTCACAGGAAGGGCTGCCTTCCGGGCACAGGGAGGAGAGGACTCACCTCGCCCTACATGTCAGAAAGACATGCAGAGGCTGCAAGGCCCGGGGTCTGCAGGGCTAGGTCGTGTGGGGGTCCTAGGCCTCACACCCCCAGCCTGAGAGGTGGCCGCCTACGGGAGTGTGCAGGCACCTATGGGTGCCAAGGGGAGAAATGCAATGGAGACTCAAAGCACAGGACAGCGGGGCAGGCAGCTCCTGAAAGATGTCACGAAGCCACCAGCCCCACCACCCCCGCTGTGACTGAACTCACCAGGGACCAGACGCTCCTTTGGGCTAAGATTTGCCCTCTGAGGGGATGTGTTTTTTAAAGTCAAGGTAACACCAGCTCCACTGCATGCATTGCTTTATGAGTCTGTATCTTCGCAACTCTGGTGACAACAGGGTAGAGGAACTCAGGGGGAGGAAGAGCTTGAGGAGAGAGGAGGGCAGGGCTGCTGGGCTGAGGCCTGGGTGGGCTGTAGACACCATTTCACAGGCGCCCCAGAGGACGCGTGTGCTTCTGAGAAGTGGGCAGGAGGAAAGGAGGGCTCTAAGCCCTGCATCCAAACAGGGCAGGATGCTGGGGGCCTTGCTACTTCCCTGGACACCTGGCAGGGCTGCCAGAAGAGAGGAGGGAGGTCCTAGAGGGGAAGGGAGGTAGGCACCCCAAAGTAATAGCTGCCAGACCAAGAACAAAAATGATGCTAACAAGAGTTAATGTTCATTGCAGACAGTCCCAGGAGTTATAGTTCCTTTTATTATTTTGATTGTTCTCATTTTCTAATTGTAGTAACGAAGACTCAGAGATTGCAAAACATGTCCAAGATCACCCAGCGAATAAGAGGCGGGCCTGGGATTTCTAAAACTGAGGTCTGCCCAAGTCCAAGCCAGTGCTGCCACTCGGGAAAACAGAGGACTTGGGTTTGGAGGGCGGAGGCCCAGAGCCCAAGAAGGCACAGTGGAGGCAGGAGCCTCCCTGGACTGAGGCGTTGTGAGGACGCTGCTGGACCTGCCTGGGAGCCTCCCTCCTGCCGACTCCCTGACTCTCCGCAGCCCTCAGACTGAGCTGTTCCCGAGCTGCCTGGCTGTCAGTCGTGGTGCTGGGGCAGCCAGAAGACTCCCTGTTCACTGAGCACCTTGGGTACTGGGTAACAGTGGCAACTTCTGGAATATGAAGAGAACAGGCTCTCAGAAAAGTAACACTCTAGAGGTAGGGGGACAGGGGACAGAATCATACAAATAGATCATTCCAGAAAGTAAAAGAATACACAGGCAGCCCTGAGAGCGAGCGGCGGGGCTGCTGGCTTGGGTGGGTGGGCGCTCTGAAGAGGAGACATGGAGTCAGCAGGGAAAGACAGGGCAGAGGGCAGCACAGGTAAAGGCTCCGAGGCCAGGGTGGCTCCAGGAACAGAGCCGCTGGGTGAGGGGAAGTGAGGGCAAAGGTCAGAGCTGTGGTCAGGGATGGCCATGGGGCTGGGCTGGAGTAAGGCTTCCAGGGTTTATTCTAGGTGCAGGAGAAGTCACTGTAAGCAAAGGAGTAATATAATCAAATTTCTGTTTGAAACGAGAACCCAGACTTCTCTTCTAGCAGGGATAGCACGAAAACCACAGGAAG